AGTGCCAAACCCTGTATATACGATGCTTTTTCCAATATGTATGTACCTATGGTAAAGTTTAATTTCTACATTAGGCACGGTAAGAGATAAGCAATAAATAATAAAACAGGATAATTATAACAATATAGCATAATAAAAGTTATATGAATGTGGTCTGTCTCTTTCTCTCCTTCTCAAAATATCTTATCATACTCTACTGACCTGCTTTCAGAGCAAGGCTGACAGTGGGAAAGTGAAGCCGGGGAACGTGATCACAGATGAGGAGGGACTACTGTAGTTCCAAGCAGCATAAATGCCAGGGAGATTTTCAAACCAAGAACCAGGGTTTGAGAGTCAGATTGGATTCAAATTCTAACCACAATCCATTAGCTCTGTGACCTCAGGCAAGTTACCTACCCTCCAAGAAGCCTTCCTTTCACCACTGGAAGGGCGCTATAAGTAGGTAAGGCCTACTTGCCATACAGGCTCACTGTGAGAAGGAAAGGCTGTAATGCACCGTCCTCGGAACACAGGAACTGCTCAGGAATTAGCAGCTGCTTTCTCTTTTAACAAGACAGCCTCATCACCCTATATTAATAGCTACATAGCACCACTTTTTTCTCTGTCTTCTTTCTTTACCCCTACCCATTAAACTCAGAACAGAAGCTTCCTGAGACACCTGCCAGCCTGTTCATTGCTCTATCTGCAGTGAACCACCAGGTTTCTGGTAGGTTCGCCCCAAATTCAGGAATAAATGACTAAGGTTACAAAAAGAGAAAATACTTTTAAAAAGGTAATAATTAATCTCTTCCTGACATTTCAAAATCACTACCTGTTTTAGGGCTCACTCATTCTATTTTGAAGAGATTAACATTTTCTTACCCTCAGGCTCCAACAGCAAAACTTCTCCAGCTTAATACTACGAATAGTGAGCAACTACAAATAGTAAGTATGAAAATCATAGAGTAGCAGAGAAATGCTTATGACATGTTAAAACATCATTTGAGGCTGGGCCCAGTGGCTCCGGCCTGTAATCCCGGCACTTTGGGAGACCGAGGTGGATAGATCACGAGATCAAGAGATCAAGACCATTCTGGCCAACATGGTGAAATCCTGTCTCTAGTAAAAAATACAAAAATTAGCTGGGCATGGTGGTGCACACCTGTAGTCCCAGCTACTCAGAAGGCTGAAGCAGGAAAATCGCTTCAACCTTGGAAGCGGAGGTTGCAGTGAGCCAAAAATGCACTACTGCATTCCAGCCTGGCAACAGAGTAAGACTCCATCTCAAAGAAAAAAAAAAAAAAAATCACTTGTATGGGTGTATGTATACTGTATACAGATACACAAAACACACACACACACACACACACACATACACAGACATATATATTCACATATATATATAAAACCATAATTACAACTATGATTAAAAATACAGTGGGAGGTCGGGCGCGGTGGTTCACGTCTATAATCTCAGCACTTTGGGAGGCCAAGGCGGGCGGATCACAAGGTCAAGAGATCGAGATCATCCTGGCCAACATGGTGAAACCCCGTCTCTACTAAAAATACATAAATTAGCTGGGCGTGGTGGCGTGTGTGGGGTAGTCCCAGCTACTCGGGAGGCTGAGGCAGGAGAATTGCTTGAACCTGGGAGGCAGAGGTTGCAGTGAGCCGAGATCGTGCCACTGCACTCCAGCCTGGCACCTGGTGACAGAGTGAGACTCTGTCTCAAAAAAAAAAAAAAAAAAAATTCTGTTGGAGGTCGGGCGTGGTGGCTCATACCCAGAATCCCAGCACTTTGGGAGGCTGAGGTGGGCGGATCATGAGATCATGAGATCGAGACCATCCTAGCCAACATGGTGAAATCCCATCTTTACTAAAAATACAAAAATTAGCTAGGTGTGGTGGCATGTGCCTGTAATCACGGCTACTTGAGAGACTGAAGTAGGAGAATCGTTTGAACCAGGAAGTCGGTGGTTGCAGTGCACTGAGATCACACCACTGCACGCCAGCCTGGTGACAAAGGGAGACCCCATCTCAAAAAAAAAAAAAAAAAAAAAATACAGATGGAGAGAAAACAATGAAACAAAACACATCAAAATGCTAATGGTAACTATGTTGCAGTCATGAATAATTAGAATAACTGGTGGGGTTTTTTTCCTCTTCTTTATGCTTGTTTTTGTAATAGTTATAACAGTTTTATAACAAAAATATTAAATTTCATAATTTTAAAAATTCTTTGTCTCTGCTATTTGAATCAGAATAAATTTCTATGATTTTCAAAGAGCCTTCAATCTAAACTGTTCATCTCTAATTCCAGAAGTACTTGAGTGCATACTGAGTGGTAGGTGCTGTCCAAGGGCCAAGGACACACAATGAAACCTGGTCCCTTTCCTCAGGAGCCTGGGCCTGCCAGGAGAGACAGACACATGAAACACCTGCCTACAGTGAAATGTGACAAAGCTGGGACAGAGGTGGGAGTACTGCAAGTGCTATGGGGAAAAGGCGGCAGAAATTCACCCTTTGGAGTGGGGCAGGAAAGGACTCTACGAGGCCACAGTGTGGCCTGGTCACGAAGCAGGCTTTGCTCTGTGGTGGTATCTAAAATACCTTATTCTGACTTTCCCAACTCCAGAGCTCCAGATTGCTAGATCAGAAAAAGCAGCACTCAGAGAGTAATCAACACTCATGGAGCATGCCCTGTGTCGCTCAATGAGCTAGCAGATGTTACACACAGTCTCATTGGATCCTCACTGTGGAGTAAATATTATTATGCCTAGTGTACAGATGGGATAATCAATGTTTAGAGGTTAAGCAACTTGCCCAAGGTCACATAACTAGTAGGAATTAAAAGAGATGTCAAAACCAGTATAACTAAGCTTATGCACTTAGCTACACTAACATGTCTATACATCAGTCAACAGAATTTTGCATGAAGCCCTGGTTCTCAGGAAGAAACAGAAGAAACCTCATCTCCCGGCCGGGCACAGTGGCTCAAGCCTGTAATCCCAGCACTTTGGGAGGCCGAGGCGGGCGGATCACAAGGTCAAGAGATCGAGACCATCCTAGTCAACATGGTGAAACCCCGTCTCTATTAAAAATACAAAAAATTAGCTGGGCATGGTGGGGCGTGCCTGTAATCCAAGCTACTCAGGACGCTGAGGCAGGAGAATTGCCTGAACCCAGGAGGCGGAGGTTGTGGTGAGCCAAGATCGCGCCATTGCTCTCAAAAAAAGGAAAAAAAAAAAAAAAAAAGAAACCTCATCTCCCCTTCTAGTTAACTCTTCACATATCAGCAGAGAAGGAAGTTGGTACTACAGAAAAAAAATAAAATCGCTAACTTGAGCTGCTGTGTCTAACAAGCCTGGTTTTGAGTCCCAGATCTCCATTGATCAGGACTTCATAGCTTCATCTCCCAGAATTCCAGCTTCATTTGAAAAATTAAAAGTAATACCTAGGGCCGGGCGTGGTGGCTCATGCCTGTAATCCCAGCACTTTGGGAGGCCGAGGCGGTTGGATCACGAGGTCAAGAGATCGAGACCATCCTGGTCAACATGGTGAAACGCCGTCTCTACTAAAAATACAAAAAATTAGCTGGGCATGGTGGCGCATGCCTATAATCCCAGCTACTCAGGAAGCTGAGGCAGGAGAATTGCCTGAACCCAGGAGGCGGAGGTTGCGGTGAGCCAAGATCACGCCATTGCACTCCAGCCTGGGTAACAAGAGCGAAACTCCGTCTCAAAAAAAAAAAAAAAGTAATACCTAACATACATGGGGATGCCTGAAGAGAAGAGAAGGCAGTGTACCAGTGAGGGCTTCATCCATGACATAAGTGCTGTGATTGTAGATGGATGGAAACCTCCATCAATTTATACAGACTCTTCACCATCACCCCTGCCCATGCTCCCTATCAAATTTTGGAAAGCAGATAAAGGAACAGTAAAAAAGAATTGGGTTTCTGGAAAACAGGCAGAACAAAAGAGGGGCTTTCGCTGGTCCTCAAATATCTGTAGACAATGTGGGGTTTAGAAGACTCTGGAATCCTGGATCCTTCCTACACGAGTATGGTCTGAGAACCAGCAGTGTCAGCATCACTACTGACATTTCTACTGCGTGTTAGAAATGCAGGTTCCCAGGCCCCAGTCCGGCCCTGCCAAATCAGAATCTGCATTCTAACAAGAGCACCAGGTAACAATATGGAAGTGATAACTATTATACATGGTATCTTGAAAGCTGATCTATCCTTATGATTGGATAGCTTGAACTGTCAGAAGTGATAGAAACGAGAAAAATAACAGTGAAGCCTAAAGATGCTCCAGCTCCAAGCCTCAGTTAATGTCTGTATACCAAATTTTAAAATGACAAACCTTGATACCAAGTCAGAACTGTATACTGTTCATACAATTTTAAAAATAAGAAGTCAGTACAAACTACAATGGGGGCTAACCCTCCCTAGAAGAGAAAAACCGGCAAAGTTTCCTGAGCAATGAAGGAAAGACTATCTGCTCTCTATCCCTTACGGGGTTAAATCTGATAGTGTATGGGAAAGAAAGCCTCTTAAAGTGAAAAAAACTCTATACATGGGTAGGATTATTCTCCTTGAATCAAGTCACTTTACGAACATTTTACTGGCATCACAGAATTGAAGGGGGCAGAGCAATTTCCCATGAGAAGTATAAATAACAGGGTGTGTGTGTGTGTGTGTGTGTGTGTGTGTGTGTGTGAGAGAGAGAGAGAGAGAGGGAAATTAGCCTGTTAGCGAGAGAGGGGGGGAGGGGGGGGAAATTAGCCTGTTATCGAGAGCGAGAGAGAGAGAGAGAGAGAGAGAGAGAGAGAGAAATTAGCCTGTTAGCCTCACTGGAGTTAAGAGCCCCAACAGTTGGCCCACAACTCATAAGTATATGCAAAAGATAACAACCCAGTAAGAGGAAACCCACAATGAGTTTTGTTCTAAGAAAACAGCAAACACACCTCTCAATGAGTTCTGCTCATTAAGGAGTAAGTCAATGCATGACACTCACCCAGCAGGGCAGCCACTATGCCCACCAGCCCCGTGCCAGCACCCAGCTCCACAGCAGAGCGGCCCCTGAGCTCCACAGCTCCCATCTCCAGATACGTGGAAAGAACAATGGCCTGAGTGAAAACACAGTGTGATGATGATTAATGTCAACATGCGCTTTAGGAGCTGCAGGGTTTCAGGTCAGCTACACGTAACCCTCTCCCACTTTGAGGTTCAATTCCCAGCTTAACAACACACATAGGAACTTAGCTGGTACAACAAGGTAACCGCCCCCTTAGAGCAAGCACGGCTCCATAGCAGTGCTCAGAGGCAGTGCTGAGACACTGCCCACACAAAATGGGGTCCTGCTGGGTCTGGAAAGCTTAATTTTTTTTTCTGAGATGGAGTCTCAGAAAATCTGTCACCCAGGCTGGAGTGCAGTGGTACAATCTCGGCTCACTGCAACCAACTTCCGACTCCCAAGCTCAAGAAATTCTCCCACCTCAGCCCTCACAGTAGCTGGGACCACACGTGTGCACCACCACACCCAGCTAATTTTTGTTTGTTTGTTTGTTTTCTGTGGTAGAGGAGGGGTTTCGCCATGTTGGCCAGGCTAGTCTTGAACTCCTCAGCTCAACTGATCCGCCTGCCTTGGCCTCCCATAATGCTAGGATTACACACATGAGTTACTGCAACCAGCCTGGAAAGCTTAATTTTTTACTTTTACACTTGGAAGTTTACACAACTATTGTGTAAGAACTGACATGAACAATTTCTATGACTTTAAGTTCCTAAACCAAACTCAGGTCAGCAAAGCCACAACTTCACCCATAGGGAAAAAGCAACACATTGCCCAAGGCTCTCTGAGCTGTGTCACTGACGGTCATCGCCCCACAGGGGCCCTCGTCCTACATTCTGGGCATCAGAAGGTAAGTTTTGGCCAAAGTTTTAGATACTTGATGTGTGGTTTAGCATTTGCTTATGATCCTACAGAAAGAAGTGTATCACGTTAACATAACTCTTACTATATTTCTCACAGCCATATACTGTGAGCATAACTGGCAATTCCTCTTCTTGGTGAGCATTTAGGAGGCTTCCCATCATTCCTCATTGTATTTTTTTTTTTTTTTTTTTTTTTTTTTTTTTTTTGCGTTGGAGTCTCATTCTGTTACCCAGGATGGAGTGCACTGACACAATCCCAGTTCCCTGTAGCCTCCGTTTCCCAGTTCAAGTGATTCTCCTGCCTCAGTCTCCCCAGTTAGCTAAGACTACGGGTGTACGCCAACTTGCTCAGCTAATTTTTGTATTTTTAGTAGCAACAGCGTTTCACCATGTTGGCTAGGCTGGTTTCAAACTCCTGACCTCAAATGATCTGCCCACCTCAGCCTCCCAAAGTGCTTGTGAGCCACCTCACCAGGCCTATAGCTTTATTATTACTAGAGTAATTTTCATGAGGTTTCCTGGACTGGGTTCCTAGAAGTGGTATTACTAGGTTAGAATATATTGAGATTTTTATTTCTACATGTTTAACATCCCTAACAATGTTAAAACTGTCAAACTGTATTTATGCCACGTATGCATTCAACATTGAGTTCCCACTGAGTCCTAGGTGTGGTGCTAGATGCTGGCAGCACAAGTCAGACAGAACAGTGCTGGGAGAGGAAGAAATGAAAAAGCAGTTGTAATTTTTTTAATGATTACAACTATGGAAAACTTAAAGAAAACACATAATCTTCATTTTGGGCTCTCCCACTTTACAATTCTCTATGCAATAAAGAGACTAACTCAGCGGGACGCGGTGGCTCACGCCTGTAATCCCAACACTTTGGGAGGCTGAGTAGGGCAGATCACTTGAGGTCAGGAGTTCCAGACTAGCCTGCCCAACATCATGAAACCTCATCTCTACCAAAAAATACAAAATTAGTTGGGTGTGGTGGTGCACACCTGTAGTCCCAGCTACTCCAGAGGCTGAGGTGAGAGAATCACTTGAATCCCGAAAGCAGAGGTCGCAGTGAGCCAGGATCACATCACTGTACTCCAGCCTGGGCAACAGAACGGAGACTGCGTCTCAAAACAAACAAACAAACAAAAAGTCACACCTATAATCCCAGCACTTTGGGAGGCCAAGGTGGGTGGATCACTTGAGGTCAGGAGTTTGAGACTACTAGCCTGGCCAAAATGGTGAAACCCGTCTCTACTAAAAAAAAAAATACAAAACTTAGCCAGGCCTGATGGTGTGCGCCTGTAATCCCAGCTACCTGGGAGGCTAAGGCAGGAGAATCACTTGAACCTGGGCTGCAGAGGCTGCAGTAAGCTGCAATCCTGCCACTGCACTGGAGCAACAAAGTGAAACTCCTTCTCAAACTAAAAAAAAAAAAGAGAGAGAGAGAGAGAGAGAAACTAACTGATGGCCAAAGCAGTTGGTGGCTTTCCTTCAGGTCCTCTCTTACCCAGTGTGTAATTACTAGCAAGTCATTAACTTTCCTCAGCCTTCATTTACTCACCTTTAAAATGTAATCTATGTGGACAGAGTAGAGAAATGATGTAAGGGATACGGGTTGGGAGTGGCAGTAACAGCAAAAATGTTGGTTAGGTGGAGAAAGGAAAAAAAATTGAAGTGCTGATAGTTGAACTACTCTGAATATACTGTATGTTTAAAACCGCACTGAATTGTGCACTTTAAATAGGTGAAGTGTATGGTATGTGAATTGTATCTCAATAAAGCTCTTTAAAAAATAAAAATAAAAAATAAAAGCCAGTCTTACAAGCAAATGTGGCCATTTTCAGAGGTCCCCCACGACTTACTTACCGCCTCCCAAACCACTGCTGCGACTCCCAGGTGTCTCCAGTCCTGCCGGATCTGGACCGTGTGGTTTGCAAAGGAAAAGGTTGCAAGAGGCTTGTGGAATTTCTGCAACCCCAATTCCGTGGTCTCGTCATAGGGCACCAGGGCCATTCCGCCTGCACCCTGCCCTCTGCTCACACCTGTCGTGCAAAAGAACCCTGGGTGACGCTCTGGCTGGAAGGTACATTATCTTTTTTTTTTTTTTTTTTTGGAGGCGGGTGTGTGTTTGTGTGTCTTGCATTGGAAGATACATTATTTCTTAACTCCAAATGCTTTTTTACGGTTGTTTCACAAGTTCAAAAGAAAAAAAGAAACAGGTGGAAGAAGAATTTGTCCAATTTCTTTTGCATAGGTCTTCCAAATCTGAGTGAGATTTCGCTCGGAATTTGTGTCAACGAATGTCTTTGGGAGAAAAAAAAAAGCCCAGAACATTCCAACTTCTGCAGAATGCCTTATACACTGCACTGCTAACACTCCGGTGAATTCAGGGCTGCACGGGCGGTGACTGCCCAGGGACCCAGGGCAGCCGGGAAAGCAGCGCTTCCCACCCAGCCCGGGCGCCCGGAATGCAGCTGCAGCCCGCCGGGCAACCTGGGTTCTTCTGTTGCGGTTTCGCCACCCACCTCCCCTCCTCCATCGGCTGCTTCAATGGTGACAACAATGGGACCGAACCTGCCCTCAGACTGGGTGTTAACGGTTTGATAAGCCAGAAATACACGGTCGCCGCAGTTCCGTCTCTCCCGGGACTGGAAGCGAGCGGCACTGGGAGCCTCCGAGTCGCTCGCGGGGACAGCGGGAGCTCGAAAGGCTCCCCGAAGTCCCCCTAGAGCTGCCCCCCCCAGCCACCCCTCTCCCCGGCCGACCGGCGCGCCCTTCCTGCCCCCGGGCCCGGGAGCTGCGGCGACCCTCCAGGGGCGAGATGAAGACCCGGCAAGGGGGGGGCCACAGGGTCTCTCAGGACCCCTAGGCCATGCGGGGCGCCGTGAGCTGCCCGGCGGAGCGCTTACGGCTCGCCCAGCCCAGGCCTAGGCGCCGCCATGCCGGTACTTACGGCTCGGGAGGCTGCCCCGCGTGGGGCGCGCACTCCGCTTTCCCCGCCTCGGGCTGGCTGCGGAAACCGCCAGCCTTAAAGAGCCCGCGAGGCGCAGGCGGGCGGCCCGGGCCACGCGTTTCCGGTCTTCCGGCACCCCACCCCCCACAGGTGCCAGCGGAGCCCACGGCGGAGCTGGGCCGTGAAGCGGGGTAGGGACGTTGCGGGGAACCGGGACAGGGGCTTTCCTGCGTGCGTCCCCAAGGCACACGGACTACTAAATCCGTTTCTCCGCCCGCGCAGGGAAGTGCTGTGGGGCGGGAGCGAGAGCCAGACCCGGATGCCGAGCAGCCGCGGGTGCGCAGGGAGGGCATGGGGTGCCCCGGGCTCTCCGGGAGGGAGGGAAAAGCCACACACCTGGCGCTGAATGTGCTCCTGGGCCGGCTCCACTTTTCTATCCTCTGCTCGGCCGCTCTCAGCCTCGGACTTTCTCACTTGCGCGTTGTGCCTGTTTCTTAGTTTTAAAGGTGGCGGGCTAGCGGGTGATGGAGACAGCCCGCTCCGAAGAATGCGTGGTCACTCTCCTCCCGCGTCTCCACCGTGGGGTCCGAAGCGGCGTAATAGCTCGCTTGGCGGCAATCGAGTGGAAAAGTCAGAAAGCCCTAATCAACTAAGGCGCGGTGGGGGAGTGGGCACGTAGCGCCCGGACCTAAGTTTTTTAAATGGGGTCGGGGACGCAGCGGGCTCGGCTGCAGTCGGGAGCGCGGAGCTCCGGGCGCGCGCTCGGTCCTAGCCCCGGCCCTGGGCGGCGCTGCAGACCCCAGTGCCCCAGTTTCCTTCCTCCGGAATGCCGAGGCGCACCTGTCCGGGTGGGCCCACGCAGGACGTGGAAGGTGCCGAGGGCGTGGCACCCTGGCCGCAGGCCCTGGAAGAGTGCGAGGTTGGAGTGGATCCCCGTGAGTGGGGCCGCGCAGGGGCCGGCATCCTCCTCCTGGGGCCCTCGCCCCACGCCGCCGCGCTCTCGGGTAACTCTCAGCGCGGCTGCACGTTAGAACAAGCTGGGGTAAACTCCCTCACCAGCACGCGGGCCCAAGAGCCGGCTGTGGGCGGGGGCCCGAGAGCTTAATTTTGTTTGTTTTTGAGACGGAGTCTCGCTCGGTCGCCCAGGCTGGAGTGTAAGGGCGCCATCTCGGCTCACTATTCTCCGCCTTCCGGATTCAAGTGATTCTCCTGCTTCAGATCCCAAGTAGCTGGGATTACAGGCGCATGCCACCACGCCGGCTAATTTTTGTATTTTTAGTAGGGACAGAGTTTCACCATGTTGGCCAGGCTGGTCTCAGAAACTCTTGACCTCTGGTGTCCGCCCACCTCGGCCTCCCACAGTGCTGGGATTACAGGCGTGAGCCACTGCCACCGCCCCCGACTCTCTAAGAGCTCCCCGGGGGCCCGCGCCTGTTGCCCTCGGTGGGAGCACGGCCGGAGCCTGAACCGCCCTTTCCTGGCCTCTCCCGTCCGGTAGGCGGCGTCCCTGACCTCCAGATTAATCTTCCATCCGAAGGCTGGGGCCTGGCAGCTTCGAGGATAACCCAAGTGAACTTGGAAGACCACCAGTGAGGGTCTTTTACCTCCTTTTCTGATTTCTTTTTTGGTCCTCTACCTTTCCCTCTCAATATTTCCTTTCTCTCTTACCTCCTGCACTTGATGTTTCTGCCTCTCAGCTTTCCCCTTATCTTTTTTTTTTTTTTTTTTTTAGACGGAGTTTCGCTCTTGTTGCCCAGGCTGGAGTGCAATGGCGCGATCTCGGCTCACCGCAACCTCCGCCTCCTGGGTTCAGGCAATTCTCCTGCCTCAGCCTCCTGAGTAGCTGGGATTACAGGCACGCGCCACCATGCCCAGCTAATTTTTTTTTGCACCTTTAGTAGAGACGGGGTTTCACCATGTTGACCAGGATGGTCTCGATCTCTTGACCTCGTGATCCACCCGCCTCGGCCTCCCAAAGTGCTGGGATTACAGGCTTGAGCCACCGCGCCCGGCCTCCGCTTATCTTTTTAATTTTTTTCTTTTTTTTTTTTTTTTTTTTTTTAACGGAGTTTTGCTCTTGTTGCCCAGGCTGGAGTGCAGTGGTGCAATCTCGGCTCACTACAACCTCCACCTCCTGGATTCAAGCCATTCTCCTTCCTCAGCCTCCTGAGTAGCTGGGACTACAGGCACGCACACCACCAGGCCTAGCCAATTTTTGTATTTTTAGTATAGACAGGGTTTCACTGTGTTGCCCAGTCTGGTCTCCAACTCCTGACCTCGTGATCCGCCCACTCTGGCCTCCCAAAGTGCTGGAATTACAGGAATGAGCCACCACACCTGGCCACCCTTTATCTTTTTTAAGACCTCCCTTTCTTGTCCTTATTTCCTCTCTCTCTGTCCCTTTTTGCAGGGGGAACCAGCATTGAGCACAAGAAAGAATATGTATGGGCTTTGATACCAGACAAATACGGAAAATTTACATTCTTCCTCAGACTCTTTTAAGTGAGATGACCTTGGGAAATTACTAAACCTCCCTAGATCCCAGGCTGCTCATCCCTGAAGCCTGGCCTGGAGCCTTGCCGAACTGTTCTCCATCCTTTCTGCTGAACTCACACATGTGACCTCAAAAAAAACAAAGCAAAACCTTCCCAACCTCTCCAGCACTCTTAACATAGAACATGTGTCTCATTAGATTTACATACAGGTTATCCAGGAAGATGTCACTTACTTTTTCTCGACCGTCTTGTCCTCCCAGTGTTCTAAGTTGTATCAGGTAGATAGCTCAGGAAGCACCAAAAGGAATATTGAGGAACAGGAACATGTGCAACTTTCATAGCAGTGTAGCCATTAAACAGAGCTCTGTTTTTATCAAAATAAGCCAGTAGCGGGGTGCAGTGGCTCACGCCTGTAATCCCAACATTTTGGGAGACCAAGGCAGGCATATCATCTGAGATCAGGAGTTCAAGGCCAGCTTGGTCAACATGGTAAAACCCTGTCTCTACTAAATATACAAAAATTAGCCGAGCGTGGTGGCAGGTGCCTGTAATCTCAGCTACTCAGGAGGCTGAGAGGCAAGACAATCACTTGAACCCAGGAGGCGGAGGTTGCAGTGAGCCAAGATGGTACCATTGCCCTCCAGCCTGGATGACAGAGCAAAACTCTTGTCTCAAAAAAAATAAGTAAATAAAAAATAATAATAATAAGCCAATGGTCCACTGTGAATGTTTGAAAATAAATTTTTAATCCTAAAAATATATTGGTGTGTGGCAGATTGTATATTGTTTAGAATGGTTGGGCCAGTGTGGTAGCTCATGCCTGTAACCCTAACACTTTGGGAGGCTAGGGTGGGAGGATCACTTGAGTCCAGGAGTTCAAGATCAGCCTAGCCAACATAGTGAGACCCCATATCTAAAAAATAAAATAGCTGAGGCTGGGGGTGCACACCTGTAGTCCCAACTACTTGGAAGGTTGAGGTGGGAGGATCATGTGAGCCCAAAGGTGGAGCCTTCAGTGAGTCCTGAAGTCATACCATGGCACTCTATCCTGGGTGACACAGCATGACCCTGTCTCAAAGAACTACTGACAGTCTTTTTGTTGTTGTTAAAGCAGAGTCTTGCACTTGTCACTCAGGCTAGAGCATAATGGTGCGATTTTGGCTCACTGCAGTCTCCACCTCGTGGTTTCAAGTGATTCTCCTGCCTCAGCCTCTCGAGTAACTGGGATTACAGGTGCAACCACCACCATGCCTGGCTAATTTTTTTTTTTTTTTTTTTCATATTTTTAGTAGAGACGGGGTTTCACCATGTTGACCAGGCTGGTCTCGAACCCCTGCCTGACTCAGCCTTCCAACGTGCTGGAATTACAGGCCTTTTTTTTTTCTTTTTTTCTTTCTTTTTTTTGGTGGGGAGGGGCACAGGATCTTCTCACTCTGTCACCCAGGCTGGAGTGCAGTGGTGCAAGCTCACTGCAGCCTGGACCTCCTGGGTTAAGGTGATCCTCCCACCTCAGCCTCCTAAGTAGCTGGGACTATAGGCACACACCACCACACTTGGCTAATTTTATTTTTTGTATAGAGAGGGTTATGACGATCCCCAAGCTGGTCTTGAATTCCTAGCCTCAAGCAATCCCCTCACCCCCCCATCTCCATCTCCCAAAATGCTGGGGTTACAGACATGAGCCACTGAGCCTGGCCTCTCCTGACAGTCTTGTTGGGAATATGCAAAAAGATATATTTACTTTCCGCATTATTTGTAATTCCGAAGTGTAGTTTAATTGTAACATAACAGTGTAGAAAATGTATTGTAACAAAACAGTATATAAAATTTTCTAAGGCCGGGCGTGGTGGCTCAAGCCTGTAATCCCAGCACTTTGGGAGGCCGAGGCGGGTGGATCACAAGGTCGAGAGATCGAGACCAACCTGGTCAGCATGGTGAAACCCCGTCTCTACTAAAAATACAAAAAATTAGCCGGGCATGGTGGCACATGCCTGTAATCCCAGCTACTCAGGAGGCTGAGGCAGGAGAATTGCCGCAACCCAGGAGGCGGAGGTTGCGGTGAGCCGAGATCGCACCATTGCACTCCAGCCTGGGTAACAATAGTGAAACTCCGTCTCAAAAAAAATAAATAAATAAAAGCATAGGACAGTGGTTTAGAGCTTGGGTTATTGACTCATACTGTCTGAGTTTAAATCCTGCAAATATCAATTTCTTTACTGTAAAAAATTGAATAATAATAATGCCTACATCTTTGGAGTATTGGGAAGTGGTGGTGAATTCACTGAAACATACCAGTCACCACGTATAACACCTGCAAAGAGTTATTACCTACTCAGTAGCACTTAGCCATTATTAATCCATGGGAGTATGCCATAATTTCATCTGGTTTACTGTTTTTTTTATTATTATTATTATTATTATTATTATTGAGACAGAGTTTTGCTCTTGTTGCCCAGGCTGGAGTGCAATGTTGCAATCTCCGCTCACTGCAACCTCTGCCTCCTGGATTCAAGCAATTCTCCTGCCTTAGCCTCACGAGTAGCTGGGACTACAGGCATGCGCCACCACACGCAGCCAATTTTGTATTTTTAGTAGAGACAGGGTTTCTCCATCTTCGTCAGGCTGGTCTTGAACTCCTGACCTCAGGTGATCTGCCTGCCTTGGTCTCCCAAAGTGCTGGGTTTACAGGCATGAGCCACTGTGCCTGCTCTGCTTTTTTAATTTACTATTTAGAATCTTAACTTTTCAAAAATCTGGAATAATTTACATGACTTCATTGTTATCAAACCTTTAACCATGCATGATAATGAGCTACTTTGTGCCACACAGCAATTTTTGTATAAGGTAACATGAATTATTAATATCAAGTTATTATGACATATAGCTATTGCAATGAACTGGAAAAAAAGTGGCCACTTGATTTTATTTAAACTGAAGTTTACTATAATGACAACAGCATAGGACAGCACATCCAACCAGCAGCCAAGTTTGAGAACTTTTTATTTACATAGTATGCAGTTAAAATGAGTTTCATTGCCATGGAATTTTACCTGTACTCAGTTTTCATTAATTGAGTAAATCCATGGCGGTAAATTGATTAGACTACTAATCTCCAATAAACGGAAGACTTCAGTGATAAAATGTTGTGCTAATAACAAATTGGACCCATTTTCCTAGTACTCTAGATGGGGTTTCACCATGTTGGTCAGGCTGGTCTCGAACTCCTGACCTCGTGATCCGCCTGCTGCAGCCTCCCAAAGCGCTGGGATTATAGGTATGAGTCACCATGCCTGGCCCATTTTCATAGTACTCTTGAGAAAGAATACAATTAGGGAAAAGAGACAGAAAATTGAGGAAATTTCTGTGAATTTATTATTCATGTTCCTCTGTTAGTTTTTTAAGAGTTCTTGATTCTTATCCAGGTTACTACAAGATGTTTTAAATTAATCTTATCTTCAATGTTATAATATAGGTAGTATTAAAAGTGTGCTATAATCTCACTCTAAAGAAATTGAAGGCCAGGCACAGTGGGTCACGCCTGTAATCCCAACACTTTGGGAG